CCCCCCCCCCTTGTTTAATTTCATGCTTCTCCTACATTTTATCTTTAATTTTGACATACATACATACATGAACTACTCACTCGTTTCTTAATTTCATTGATAATCTTGTTCTTGTATGCATCGTAGAAAGAAATTTGTGCGCATTAATTTAAAATGATGGAGAATGAAAGACGCATTAATAATCAAGGTCTTTGGTTTATTTAATACTATGATCTAATCTTTGTCTGCACCTTTTGATCTCTATGTATTCTCGAGTTAACATTTTATATATATTATACTTAGATTGAAAGTTGTACTTTATTGTTGTTTTACAGTTTTGTCACTTAGGCTCATTTTGGAAGGACTGTAAATATAAATTTGTAGAGTGCAAAACCTTGTATTTTGTTCTGAACATATTTGATCAATTATATTATATATAATTCTAAACTGAGCTTTAACTTTTAAACTTTTATTTTGATCAATATAACCTTTAAATTATTTCTATTATTGATTTACCTTTAAAAAATTGTTTTAACCTAAGTTTTTAATTTAAAACATCAATTTCACTTGTTAATGATTTTATTGTTTGCTAAAATAAAAAATTATATATAATATAATTCTAGTGTTTTAGAATTGGAGGAAGTAATAGAGAGAGAAAGATGAAGGTTTGTTCGTGATGTAGCACGATCTGACTACTCCCTGCTGGAGGATGATATGGCTTCCAGTCGAGCAGCGAGGTAGGTGAATCTGCAAGACAACGAATCAGAAAACCCGGGGTGGCTAACCCGGCGAGGTCGCTCCAATGCTTAAGTTAGTAAATTGTGGTGAGAGCTGAAAGCTTTGAGAGTTGGAGAGCTAGAGTGTTAGAGAGTAGAAAAATCACGCGTGCCTTGTGTTATTGGGGTTGGTGCCTTTATATAGTTGAGTCCTTGCGGGTTTTGCGAATCGGTTCTGGGATTTTCGTCCTGAGGGGATCCATTTCCGCTTTAATTGGGGAGTAATGTATCAATTAATAAAGATTATCAATTCCGCCCGATCCGGGCGTGGAGAAGATTAGGCTTGCCGTTACGCCACGTGATCACGTAAGGTTCGGAGTTTGCTGGAGAGACTTCTGGGATCGTTACATGGTGATCTGGGTTGGTAGCCCTGAGCTGATACTTCAGTCTTATAGTTCCGAACTGGATTGAATGCCGAGGTGACCCTATGCCGAGGTGATTGAATACCTGAGTTCAATTGTTGCGAACTAGGCTTGCCAAACTGAACTGCCATCTCTTAGTCGGGTCGTGTCCACGTGTCCGTTTTTCGCTAGGTCGGGCCAAATCACCCTTCATCTGTTTGAATTCAGAGAAGTAATAGAGAGATGTGGTGTGTATGATGGGGTCAAAATTCAATTTCCTTTTTGGAGTGGGATATATTTCTTATTTTTATTACTTTTTGTTCTAACCAATAGAGGGGTTAATGGAGGTTACAATCCGTTTAATTGAGATTTTGTAAGTTGGCAGATGTCATTCCTTGAATGGGAGGACACCTAAGGGGTACACAATGAGAGGATAGACGATCCCACTCCATATCTAACTACATACTCCAATCGAGCTCTTTCCTCTTTCTACCCTTTCTATCCTTCTCACATTAGCAATGTCAACAATATTCCTCTTTTTTCTCTTTGCCATCCGCATAATTTCATTTCATTTTGGAAATGATGGAAGCTTTCTCTTTGTACTCACAAACGATGTAATTGGCAAAGAAATAGTGGTGGCAGACCTTACCAACTCCAAGCTGAAAACTCACTAAGACCAAGCAATGAGTCCTGCTCATTTTACCCCTACACTCTTCAAACAATTGCCATATGGAACAAAAATATAAAACTAAAGAAGTTTCAATGTAAAGAAAAAGAAGATCTTGAGAGTTGAAAGAGAAAACATTTACTATCATTTAAGGATTTGAGGGTGGTCGATTTGAGATTAGATTGCCACCAGCAGAGGAAGAATTTAGAACAACAACCTCCCATTGCCAAAGATCTAGCTGCACCAAAAGGATTGGAGATCATACAACCCATATTTCTTTGAAACCACCTGGTTGAAGGGTTTTCATTAGTGTTTAGGAAACCAGACTAGACCGGTCGTTCATACCAATTAAACCATGACCTAGAGCCTTAGCAAGTTGGGTCACACCCCAAGAACCGGAATTGCTTAAAACCCAATTAAAACTAACTCACTAGATAGTTTAACCAGAAAATCGATGAACCGATCCCAATTTAAGGAAACCACCAAGGTCATTAAATGATTGAAATTTCAAAATGCATGTGGCAAAAATTGAACCCATTATCTCTTATTTTTATGCATTGCTTAATTACCATTAGTCCACTTCTTTATTCATGCTAATTAATGATTGTATCGTATATGTTACTTTATTAGACACATATTTTGGAGAAAATGTAAACTAAGAGACTTGAACCCTAGTCATTCTCTTTAAAAATTAAGGAACTTGCCATCCATCCACCATATTTTAGTATTAACGATTTGTTAAGAGAAAGTGAAACAACAAAAACCGCTAATTATTACAAAAAAGAAAATCAATGTTGGTTAAAATAATTATTCTTTATTTTAGCAATTTGTTACAATAAATAATTTAGTAACTTAGTAATTTGGATTAATTATATTAAAATTTTTTGATAAAGATAATAAATTATTACTAATTACTTAATAAAATAATTATTTTTCCATATTATTTGTTAGTGTTCTATTTTATTTATTTTACTTTATTAATGATTAAATGTTATATTTTTTTAAATATTACTTAATTATTTAAAATACATAATACTGGTAAATATATAAAATTAAGTTGTAGTCATAATTAAATTAATCTAAGCCTGAGCTCAAGTTTTAAGACTTCGGGTTGGGCTTTGGTTAATACCCAACATGACCTAACCCACCAAGTTACACCCCTAAGAGCAATGTGACATTTGTAATTAGATTTAAACAAATTGATTACAACCTTGCATGCATTATTTTTTGGGTTTTTAACTATTTTTAGATAAAATTGTTAATATTGAAACAAAATGAGCTATAGGGGGATGGGCTACCCCCATTGTGTAGCCTAATGAATAAAAATAAAAAAAGATCCTGATCCATATTTTGATAATGTATTAATAGCTTTTAAGGTTGCTTGGCCCAACTTGACCCACACCCCAAGTGTAATAATATTTGTCTAGGCATAGGACTGGGACAAGATTGCCCATGTTAATTATAAAACTATGTTTTTTTTATAAATTATTTTTTTATTCAATTTAAATCTATTAATGTTCATTTGTGCATTAATATAAAATTTGTTATCTAAATATATATGTATATGACTTCCAAGTCAAGCTTGGGAATTGCTTAGCTTGGTTCTACTCACTGGGGTTGTCAATGACTCTAAAAAAGTTTGATACCTAATTTGGATGTTAGAACTTGCATTTGATTAATTTGGATTTGATGTGAATTTAACCTCATCAAATCCAATTAAACTTCCAACCCAATAAAATATTATTATTTTATGCATATTTGTAGTAATTATGTGTACATATATATAAACTTTATAATTGATAAATTTAATATTTAATATTTATATACATTTATTATACATATCTACTTTAAAAATACTTAGTTTTTTAAACTTTTTTAAATTTTTCATAATTTTAAACAGAATAAGCCGGTTGCATATTAAATCCACTTCTGATCCAAAATTTGATATAATGTTCAAATATAGATGTAGATCTAGACATATCTTAAATTGGATGTAGATGTGGATGCTGATGCAGTTGGATCTTATCTAAATCCAACCAGTTAACAACCCTATTGCCTGTATTATGTGTGAGCTAGTCGGGCTATGATCATCCCTAAGTAGAACTGTAGAATGAGTCTTATGACATTTCTAATTAGGTCATTATCAGTTTCATTATTTTAATTAATTTTTATAATTTTATTTGAAATGCAAATGGTTTATTTTATTATTTTAATAGTATTTTACTTGTACTATTAATTTTAATTGTCCTATTAATATTAATTATCTTTGAATATAATTAAATTGCATTTTAATTTTTAATTTATGAATTTTTAATTTTATTAATTTTTAATAGTTTCTAGATAAAAACTTGCTAAAATGTAATATTTTTATTATTTTTAGTTATTAGGTTCCAAATTGTAATTTTTTGTCAATTAACAAATTAAAAAGAATTTGAGTATTAAAGAGAATTGGTAGGGAGAAAGGAGAGACATGTTGACATGATCTATATAGATCATTATTATTATTATTATTATTATTATTATTATTATTATTATTGTTGTTGTTGTTGTTGTTGTTGTTGTTGTTTTATATGTTATTTAATATATTGATAAATTATCATTATTTTTTCGTATGTGTTAAAATATGTTGTGTCGTGTATAGGTTTCTAGATGAACTGAACTATTTATGAAAATGGGTCAATGTAGACTTGTTTAGCTCATCTTTTTCACTCAAGCGATAAAATGAGTTATGTGTTTTAAATTTTAATTACATCTATTTTATATCATTTTTAGTGGGTCCTCTATTTTATTAAAATCCCTTATGTAGTATGTGCACCGTGCATAATAAAAGGTCTCAGCTCATAAAAATTATTAACTTTAATAATTTTATTAATTAATTTAAAATGCATTTATACAATGTTATCTAATAAAAAAAGAATTAAAAAAAAACAACAATAGAACATGGGTTCTATGTGCAATATATTAAACCCATGATTATTATGTGCAATGGATTTTCAATTTGTAATATTATTA